CAAAAGGTGCGAATTACTGAACAACTATTACAGAAAACAGCCCAGCAATGGTGGGATAGCACCAAACCTGATAATGATGCTGACATTACTTGGGAGGAGTTCAAGAGGAAGTTTTTGCAACATGAAAATTAAATCTTCTCTAGATACTTACGGTTGAAGATAGATCCCTTCCAACTAAGTTGTAGTATGTAAAAATGTCAGAATTCATACCCCCAAATATTTTTTTAAAATGATGAGAGTTCTTGCCACTTACACTAAATATTGGGAAAGTTTGTCATGACCAACCCGAAAGAGTTTTCCTATATTTATATGGACAAATAAAAAACATCATTTAAAAAAGTAATATAACTAATATGAAGATCTTAGGTATATAATTATGATATAATAAAAATATTCTTACTCATTCAGTTATTGCTTATGAAGAATATTAATTAAAATTGTGAAATTAAATTGATTTCACTTTGATCCAGCCACCAGCAGAATTCAGCCTATTTCATATTTTATTCATACTTTAGCGGAGCTATTTAAAAATTGAATTAAGGAAATGAAGAATTAGCGGGCAACGAATCACTTTAGATTGTTGGAATCTAATCGTTACATCACATTCATGATTCAACACTATCAAGTTCAACAAATTTGCACATCTTTTGAAGAATATATTAAGATAAGTAAAAATTCTAACTCAGACAAATAAAATTTGCTATAGCCATATTATATCTTATTTTTTCAAAAAAATAACTTATATTAACATAAAAAGGAGCCATATTATATCCTATATATGTAATTATAATTTGTAAGTACAATTTTTAGCATATATTTGATTTTCATGCAAAAAAGTTTACAATATTTACAAACTAAATTCAATTAAAGTGAAGTAACTTATAGTATTGGAAGGGAAAAAAACAGTGAGATGCCAAGTGATTTTCACTTTACTTAAAGTTTCAATTTACGGAATTAATAGCTGATTAAAAAATTACAATCAAAAGAATTAGTGCAAGAAAGCAGTGTGAAAGATGTATGATGGATGGCAATATAAAAAAGAAGGAAGGAAAGAAAGAAAGATGTGCGACGACATCGATCCTCATGAAAAGTCTTCGACAAGTTGATGCCTTTTGTTACCTTCTTTTACTCATTTATTATGATTAATCAAATGAAGGAGCTCGTAAGAAATTTAGTAAGAAGCTTCCTTTGGTAGATCCATCATGGTCCACACGCAATTAAGAAAAATAAAAGGTCCGTCTTTAATAGCCAAAATTAGGGCTGCACAAAGGACTGGACGGCACTGGACTTCACCCTAACCCGAAGTCCGGTCTCTTTCATGAAAAAGACTGGGTTAGGCAACCCGTAGTCCAGTCTTGTCCAGTGATAACCCGAAGATTAACAGGACCGGACTTGGTCCATAGGACTGGGAGACTGGTCCTGTCAGTCCAATACTCACTTAGCTTTTTTTCCCTCTTTTTATTCTATGAGAGGCAATAATCCATTCCAACATAATAAACTCAATTAAGATAGTAAAAATACTTATAATAATAATAAATCCATAATAATTTCTAACAATAAGAAAAAAAAATATTTTTGTTATAGTCTAAATTATTTAAATTTATAAACTTTAATAAAAACAGTACTCAAAAAATTCAACAACACTATATTACAATAACAATTTAGAAACAAACTTAATAAATCTTTATGCAATCATCTCCTTAGCATCAATTACACTTTAAACATTTGTCAAAAATAAATTAATTATAATTATAATAAAAAAAAATTAATAGGACTGGACTGGACCAAGTGGTCCGGATGCCTGGTCTCTTGTCCAGTCCAACCCGAAAAAATAGTCTGGTCTTTTTAGTCCTTTTGGTCCTGAAGGACCAGTGACTATACAGACCGAACAAGACTGAGACCATCTCGGGTTGGACTGGACCAGACAGGACTGGGAGACTTTTGCACAGCCCTAGCCAAAATAAAGTGATACTTTTGACTGATTTGACAAAAAGGGCCATCACTTATCACTTCTTGTTGTTGTTGTTTTTTTTTTTTTACCACCATCACTTATTACTATAGTGGGTTGGTGCTGATTTTTTTTATATGAATATTTGATTGGTTCATATTTGAGTATTATCAAGTCTAATTGAAGGTAGTTATTCTAAAATTATTTTTTGCATTTATATAGGCTTGAACTTCAAACTTCGGCGATCATAACTCATTTTACTAAAACCAATGCTTATTGGTAGGATTGGTGCTAATTTAATAACATGCAAAATAAAAAGGAAGAATTGCATTGAAGTCCCACATAAGAAAATTAATTACTATAAGATCCATTGATAACTGAACTAAACTATATTGATAATTGATTATGTTGTTAATGCAGTTTCGTTCAGTTGTCAATAGATTTTACAGTAATTACTTTCCTTATGTGAGACCTGATTGTGATCCTCCCAAATAAAAATTGCAATAGTTACTTTTACAATAGTAGTTGTGTATTTATTATTGAATAATATTCTAAAAAAAATAATTGTATTTGATTATAGCTCATGCAAATCATAATTAAGAATCATCATATGAATATTTTATAAAACGAATATTAAATTTTACATTTATTTATTATTTTTCAAAAATATTAATTAAATCGAACTGTGGTAGGTCAACAAATGATTTTAAATTAATTATCATATTTTATATAAGGTTAATATTATTTAATGGAAAAAAAATTCATGCTTGATACACATAACCTCACTTGTGAAAAGTCTTTTAACATATTAAAACATTTTGTCATCATTAGACGCCATGTCTCATGTACATAACTTGGAGAAGTTTTGAGAATTGTTATAACTCGTCAATAAATGTTGTCAAGAAAAAATGTAGCATTTTAACATTCGTCAACATATAATTTGTTAGAATTTATTATGTTTAGATTTCTCATCTTTTAAGATTTATTTTGTTTAGATTTAGAGAATATTTTGTATTCATTAAATATTATTAAAATTTTTATTAGTTATTATTATGTTCATTTATGTATTGTAAGTTTTTCTGATCAATAAAACGCTCACTTTTCCATTCTCCATTTCTTTCTCTCCTAATTTGTTTTATACTAAAAAATAATAAATAATATTTTAAATACATTAAAAACCTCAGGCGTTAATGCAAAATATTCATGTGAAACTTAATATATATTGTTTTTGAATTTGTAATATTAAATAAGGGTATAATAAAAAAAATTCCACTTTTTTTTTTATCGTTCATATAATGCCACTTCAAAATTCTACGATCGCACCCATATATGAGATGCTAATGCTATAGTTTTTAAAATTAAAATTTTCAATAGGAGTATTGCTAATTTTATTGGGATAACGATTTAGCTAAATTTTAATTGATTTTCTTAAAATATAAGAGGTAAATAAAAATCACTTGTATCAAATAAAAATATATCTCATTCCTCAAATTAACCTTACACGATGATGCACAAGTTCACAAAGCTAATTTATTTTGTATATCAAATAAAAATAATTAAATAAAATTTAAATAAACTTTAGAAAGTGGAACTTCTATTTTATTTTGTATGCTTTCGTATCTCAGATGACTTTTAAAACCACAAAATAGTTTTGTAAAAATATTTTTCAAAAGTATCAATTTAATGATTGTTATTCTTTTTCCCTATACTTTGAACTATTTTTATTCCCTGAGCAATTAGCTACTTTTCCTCTACAAATTTCACATTCACGCGCTTTTGAGATAAAAAGAAAAAATATTTTAAAAATATTTTTATTTTGTATAGTTGAGGCAAGAAAACTTTAGGAGACATGCATTGAAAAGTTTTCCAACATATTAAATTCTCTTGTCTCAATTAGATGACTTCCAAAGACTTGTCAATTGCCAATCTGCCCATTCACGTGGTTTTGATATAGTTTTGATATATGGACCACTATAGTGTGTGGCACTAATATTTATAGCTTATAAAAATTATAATTTTCAGTTGAAATATTAATTACTATAATAAAAATCTAAGTCCTGTTATTGAAGTATTACAAAAAATTTAGGTAATGATGATGAGCATTTCGGTTAAAAAAAATGCTAAGTAAATAATTTTGCAATATATTTTTATTTATTTAATTATTTTTTATTAACTGTGTGAACTAAATTATATTGAATTGATTGGTCAACTAGTAGCTTTCAATTTTTGTAACATTAATGCCAGAAGATTTCTCTCCAGATGAGTGATGATCATTTTCCTTTGAAATTTTTTCAGTATGTAAAATTCTTGTTTCTTTAGTTCAGACCACAAACGGAAACAATACAGAAATTTTTATAAAATTGATTAATTTTTATGCAGAAATTCTTTACTCTTCTCACCATATAGCTAGCTATTCCTAAAAGAAGCCATCACCTTCTACTTTTATTGCTTTTGGTTTTAATTTTCATTATATTTCAAAATGTTATATTTTATTTTAATTAATTTTAAATAAAAAATCATAAATGATACTGTTAGAAAAAAAAAATGCCAATGAGAAGTCTTATTTTTACCCTACAGAAATTTTGTGAAACATTGTTTGTAGATTCTCCCGTAAGTTTCTCTCCACTATAGCGAAGTGCAAAGAACATTACAAATCTAAACCATGAGACTGAATTTAATAATTTAGATTTAATAGTTTTTAAAGATACAAATTCACTTGTATTGTTAAAATTTGATGTGAGCAGTTCAAATTTACGGTAGGGGGCGTAATGAAAAAAGCATAGTCCAACACTCCTACAAGTATGAAAGCGCTTCTAAAGTCTAGGTTACTTTTAAATTTGAATTTTTGAGATGGAACTTCTAATTTCTTTTGTATTTCTTTAAAGCTTAGGTGACTTTTAAAACAATAAATTACTTTCATAAAAATATTTTTGAAAAGCATACATATAACGATTTTGTTTCTTTCCCCTTTACGTCGACTATTTTTCCGCCCCTGAGTAACCAACTTCTTTTCCTCTATATATATACGACCAATGGCATTTTTTCAGTCATGATACCTTGTTTTCAAGTATAGTTTGATCATTCTTCATTGTTGCAATCATGAGTCCTAACTCAAATGTTGTGTTTCTCTTGCTTTTCCTGTTCTTTCATTCCTCACGACTCTGCTTCTCCACAAACTCTACCTCTCCTTGCCATGAACGAGAGCGGCAAGCTCTTTTGAAATTCAGATCAAGTTTCAAAAACACATCTGCTGGATCACTTGGTTCTTGGGAGGGACTTAATTGCTGTCACTGGAAAGGTGTTGGTTGTGATTTTATTTCAAGACATGTTATCAAGCTTGATCTTAGCTATACATCAGAAGCGGAAGCTGTGGACCCTTCATTGTTGGAGTTGGAACATTTGAATTACTTGGACTTGAGTGGAAACAATTTTAGTTATAGTCATATACCAGAGTTCCTCGGTTCCATGAAGCAGCTGAGATACCTCAACCTCTTTGATTCTCACTTTAGTGGCATGATTCCCCATCATCTTGGTAATCTTTCAAACCTTCAAGTTCTTGATCTTTCAGATTATGGGGAAGATTTATATGCTGATGACATGGGTTGGGTTTCAAAACTTTCATCATTGAGACACATAACAATGACTAGAGTGTCCCTTGAGAAGGCACACAATTTGTTTCAGGTACTTTCCATGCTTTCTTCTCTGTTACAGGCAGAGTTTAGTTATTGTGGTATTGCCAATGTCCATGTCACACATGCGTCCATGAATTCTACATTTCTTCCTAATATTGAGCTCTTGGATCTTTCAAACAATTTTCTTCATGGTTCAATTCCTAATGCTCTTCAAAATATGACCTCCTTAAGAGAGTTGGACCTTTCAGGGAACTCAATTTCTTCAATTCCACACTGGCTGGGTAATTTTCACTCTCTGATCCATCTTGATCTTTCTTGGAATTCTTTCAATGAAAGTAAAATCTCCATCTCCTCTATCTTGAACAACATATGTTCCCTCCAATCCTTAGACTTGTCCGGTGGCAAATATGAATCATTAGTGTCTTTACTAAGTTTTGGCAGTGGAAATTTATCTCAATGCTCAATTGACAATTTTGAAGAATTATTCTTATCTTCCAATGGTATTAATGAGAGTTTGCCAAGCTGGTTAGGCGAGCTAAAGAACTTGAAAACACTTTATCTTTCAAATAATCTCCTCTATGGGCCAATGCCAAGTTGGTTTGGAGAGTTAGAGAACTTGGAAACTCTTGATCTTTCAAAAAATTCTCTCTGTGGGCCTATTCCAGTTAATCTTGGAAAATTGTCTAATTTAGTTAAATTAGATCTTTCACATAACCTTTTGGAAGGTACCTTTTATGAGAACCATCTTGAAAAGCTCATAAATATACAAAGTTTGCAATTAGGATTTAACAATCTTTTTGTAAAGATTGATTCAAATTGGACACCTCCATTTCAATCCTTAACACAGTTAGGAATGACATCCTGCAACATAGGCACAAAGTTTCCACAATGGCTTCAAAAACAAAAGAGGCTAGTGCACTTGGATTTATCCAATAACAGCATTAGGGGACAAATCCCAAAATACATTGGGGATCAAAATATAAAGTTAAGAGTGTTAGATCTTAGGCACAATCTTATAGAAGGTTCAATACCAAACTCTTTGTGCAATTTGGAGAAGTTGATCACTCTAAGGCTATCATATAATAGACTATCTGGTGAAATTCCCAATTGTTGGAGCAACGCTAGTCAAACTTTCGTTATAAATCTTTCATCTAATAAGCTATCAGGCACTATTCCAAGCACATTTTGGAATTTATCTGATATGACGTGGTTAATTTTGAGCAACAACAATTTACGTGGGGATCTTCAACATGTCTTACAAAGACATTCAACATTAGAAGTTTTGGACCTTGGTGAGAACCAATTTACTGGAATGATACCTTCTTGGATAGGTGATGGGGGATTGCCGCAACTTCGCATTCTAAGGATGTCACAGAATTTGTTATGTGGTGATATTCCACCTTCCCTTTGCAAGCTCCACAGATTGGGAATCTTGGATCTTTCTGGTTCTAATTTGTCAGGTTCAATCCCTTCTTGCTTTTGCATTCTTAATGGGACAAACCAATTCAACCCAGAAGATGGTATTGCTGGATTTGCTGATGAAAGTGCAGACGTAATGTTTGAAGAGGGTGTTGATCAAGTTTTGAAAGGATTGCAACTAGAATACACTTCAAATTTGAGGTATTTGACAAACATTGACTTGTCAAATAACAATTTGAAGGGTTCAATTCCAGAAGGTTTAACTTGTCTCTCGGGTTTGATTGGCTTGAACTTATCACACAATAAATTTTCAGGAAAGATTCCAAGCAAGATCTCAAACATGAAGTCATTGGAATCCATTGATCTATCAAGCAACCAACTTTTTGGTCCTATTCCCAGCAACATGTCCACCATGACTTCATTGAGTTTTTTAAATTTATCAAATAATAATTTTTCAGGACCTATTCCTGAAGGGGCTCAATTCTCTACCTTTGGTCCATCTTCTTATAATGGCAATCCATATCTTTGTGGAGATCTTCTTGGAAAATCATGTCCTGGGATTGGGATAGCCCACCCACCTTCCAACCTTAGCTTTCATGAAGAGGATGATGATAAAGGAAAAGAAAAGGTGTTATTTTACTTTGTGATAGCACTGGGATTCATCACGGGATTTTGGGTAGTTATTGGATTCTTGTTGCTCAATAAAAAATGGAGACATGCTTGCTTCAGACATGTGGATAACTTTGTTGACTTCATGCATGTGGAAATTCATATCAGGAAGGCAAGATTCAAGAACAAGAGCAAGAACCTGGTTGATCATTAACAACTTCTGTTGTCAATTACATGTATGGTCCATGTTGTGTGTTCCCACAAGCATTTTATTCTTGATGGTCCAATGTTATTGATTGTCTTGCCAAGGATGATCTATGTTATTGTTCATGGTTATCTCTTGTTTCATGTAGTTAGTGTGAGGAATTATGAATAACATATAACTTTTGTTGTGAATTTGATAGTAGTTGATTTGAAGCCATGATGAGTATTCTAGCATTTTTTTCCCCTTTGGCTTTTCATATGATGGTATTATAAATGATAAATTTCCCTAAATTATAGTGATTAAATAAAATAATATATGAAAGATGATTAAAAAAAAAGTGCTGTAAAAAACTGTTTACGTTTTAAATTCATCAGTAAATTTTTGAACATCGGTTGTGGAAATATGAAGGAATTGGACATGAAATCGTAAAGCTGGCTGCCATAATAAAAAAAAAGATGGATTTTTTTGTGGAAATGTGAAGGAATTGGACTTGAAATGTCAAAAACTGTTTTCACTACTTTTATTTCATTAATTAAAGGGGAAAAAATGAAGGAACAAAGTGTGATCAGAGAAAAGGAATACTACAAACATAGCAATATAAACCATGAGAAAAATATAACAGCGAGAACTGAAAATAAAAATAGGAAAAGCTTTTTGAAAGATAGTATGATCACAGATAATAATTTTCATTTCGGTTATTCTATTTGATTATTATAATTTTTATCACTTAATATTTATAATTTAAAAATAATTAAATATATTACCCCAATTGACATAAGGTCAATAGCTGAACCATGTACATAAGCCCTCAAGTCTTTGCACCCTGTAGCTAGCTTTTAGGTTCAAGTTAGTTTTTTTTTTTTTAATAATAGAAGAATACCCTTATATAGTTTTTAAAGTTTACTGTACAATATATTAATATTCATTTAGTATTAATTTGTATAAAAATCAAGAACATATCATATATGACACAGGTGTATTAAGTTGGGATGAGAAACAACTACTTTGAAATAGGAGGAGAGGAAAAACAAGCAAGAGTGCAGGGTACTACATCTTAACTTAAAATTTTAAGGCTCAAGTTTATGAGACCTTCCTCTTTATTTTTAAATTAATTATTAAGCCCCCGATATGTGGCTTTCCATATCATTTAAACCCACTGATACTTAAACAACTTAACAGAGAATGATAGCAAGAGTCATCATAAAGAGTTTTATTTTCTTGACATCTAGAATTTTCTCATCATGACACCCCAAACTGTAAGCGCTTTAGTGCCTATTTGGATACCCCCAATTAATCAATTATGCTTATCAAAACCATGGTTTTAGCAACCAAAAAAAAACCAAATACCCTCAATTTTTTGTTAATTGCATTTTGCTAAAAAAAAAAAAGACTCTGGTGTAAAGGAAGCTAATCTCAGCAACTTATGAGAATTGATTACCACATTGGAGTCATTACACTGCCAGAGTGATTTTAAGTTTTCAATTTTAACACTTAAAAATGGTACATGTATATTGGTGCTTTCTAGTATTGTCACATGGCAGTGGCTTTTTGGGGTTGATGGTCAACATAAGGGAGGAATAGGTGATATTTATGTGTGTGTTTTATAAATACAACTATCTATTTAATTCAAATTTATTGATTCAGGGTGAACCAGTGACTTTTGTTAATTAGTGTGTATATATATAATAATTATTAACCATTTCATGTCAAAATAATAACTATTACATATTTATTTTATTAATTAAATATAATTTAACAGATCTAATAACATTATAAAAAGATAATGTCCTTTATTGTAATTTATATATCTAACATTAATTTTGTCTTAAGTCATCCTATAATCACATTATAACATAATTGATTATAATTAAAATTAATCATATTAATTAATTTTTTTGTAATCAATTATACCATGAACTCCAAGCACACCTTTAAGTACACAAATAGATCTCCTCTCATAAAGCCTCTGCAAAATTTGCTTGGGCTTCAACCAAATTGTGCTTTTCATCTACTTAAGTTCACTAACGTGTCTAATATTTTCAATGTTTGTTTGGGCCCACAATTTGATATCTATGAAGGGGCCTCAATGCTTGTCTATTTGTGTTTGTATTCCTTGGGCCATTGATGTAGGTTGTTTCTCTTTTACTTTTAATAAATTTGACTTTAACTAACAAGAGTTGGTCCGAGTAGTAAGCGATTCAGTTTCGCTTAAATAAGGTCTCAAGTTCGAGCCTTATGTATGCAGAAAATTCTCGTTGGAAGACTCACTCACCATGCCAAGTGCGCGACGCGGGTCGAATCTGGATGTAGTCGAGGCAAAAGTTTTGGTAAACTGGGTGGGCTACCAAAAAAAATTTTACTTTAATTTTTTTAAAAAAAGAACGGGGCTAGTTTTATTTTATTGTTGGATTTACGTAAGTATGAAGAGGGGAAGCGACAATAGAAACTCGTATTTTACACCATTAACCACATAGTTCACAACTAAAAAAAATTGAAAAAGTTTATTTCAACTTGCATAAAATAAAATGGTATGTATTACTGCCCAAGAAGGGAGGCTAACAAAGGAGGAAAAAAAAAAAGAAAAAATTAATCCATACTTATATGTTAATATGTGAAGGTGAAAATTATTAATGAATTAATAATTAAATTTTAAAATTTATAGAAAAATTGATTTAATATTTTTGGCCAAAAATAGAGAAAATTTGATTTAATATAATGTTTATATTTTTATTAATTTTTTATGAAAATTTTACATGCGTAACAAATGAGATTTTATAAAACATGAAGATTAACCAAAATAATGTTCCAATTTCAAATTGACAATAAATTCAACTGCAGGTACAGAGTTAGGGACATATCATTTGAGACCCAAAAAAAAAAAAATTAATTTCTAGTGAATAACATTCCCATAATAAAACTATAGAGAATAAAGGTGAATATATTTAAATAATTATGTGCACAATTAAAAGAGAATAATTCAACGTGATATATCATAAAACATTAAATTCAAGAACTGTAAGTGTAAAATAAATGAAGCTACAAAACACTTATCTTTTGGAAGATTGAATAGATTTATAGACATAAAACATGGAAACATATATGAATTTGGTAAAGATAATCACTTCGAATAACAGGAGCACATATCTCATATATCAAACAATTTCATATAAATAAATAGCCATATAAACATGGTCGAGTAATAATGACATAGCAATCAAGTTCCACTTTTAAACTACAACATATGTTTTAAACAAATAAGGGTTATGTAACTCATTATATGAAATTCATATAGAAAGAAAAAGAACTGCTTGTTCCATAGAATCAATTTAAAGGCAATAAATTTTGAAACTCATTCTTTAGTAGGATTGATCAAAATGAATAACAAGTATAGACACACAATCCACAAAAAAAAATAATAATAAATCAAATACTGTTAAAAGTCACAAAAAAAGCTTGGACATACATTATATATGAATATGTTTGATCAAAATTTTAAAGAAAGTGAAATCACTAACAAGTCATTAGGACAATATTCACTTACCTTATACGTTTTCAAATACATAACTTACTCCTAATTAATTGCTTTTGTGATACGGGTTGCTCCTTAATTCCCACAAGGGCAGAGGAAAAACAAAGAAATCACAGCTCCCTCCTTCAAACCAGCACAACACAAGGCGAAAATATGGAGGGAAGAAGAAGACGACGATGAAAGACCAATGGTGTGAAATAGTGAAAGAGGAGGATGATCTTGCAAACGAAACCTCTAGTACTAGCACAGATACAACCACGATCACTAGTGGCAAATAGAACGAACGAGCGAGGAGGAAGAAAGGAAAAAGTCAAACATTCTCCCTCTTTTTGTCAGGTTGCAGCACGAACCAAAGGAGGGAAAAATTCCTATGTAGCCAAGGCTCACCGGCGATGAACTCGACAATGAGTAAGACAGCAAAGGGAAGGGGGTGCAAATAGGGTTCAGATCGGTCTCTCTCCTTAGGTTTGTCTCTCTCTGTTTTTTTCAAGGGCATTTTAATAATTTCATGGCTTTAGAAAAATAAAGTTTCTCTATTTTATAAAGGGAGGATTCGAACCCACAATCTCATGAAAGGTTGTTGTTAGCAAAATTTTCTCCTGAACCCCTGATTCCTCTTGTTGTATTCTTTCCAAAATATAATCAAAATACCTTATCAAAAATTTTAATTCTTCTTAAATTTCTGAGCTATTACATTTTTTATGGTATTGATTGAGACAAAAAGGTAATTGTATAGAGACTAGAGCAAAATAAAAATAAAAATGCATATCAAAGGATTCAAACACTAGATCTCTACATAGAGACTAACAACAATTACTACAAAGCTACCAATTCACATTGCTAAATTTACACAAAAAAATAAAATAAAAATACATTTTAATTATCTAATTATAAATTTTAATTTAACTTAAATTTTTTAGTCATGATATTTTTTTCTCCCTTAAGAAATTCAGTCCTCCAAACTTAAATATGTACTTTTGACTTCTCATGTAACTGCTAATGCTCTACCTTAATTTGCACACTAACTGAAATACTCCTCCAATTAAGTTTTGCAAATTATCAGTGATTCTTAGAACTAAGTAAGAAACAGCTTGATTTTTTTTTTAGTTGGAAGGATTCTTCATTTCTAGAAAAGTAATAACCATTGCAATATTTGCAAAATCAATGTGAACTTTTTAGTCAGATGTATAAATGGGAAAGTAAAGATTGCTAGAGAAATTCAAGGAAGGAAACAAAATACTAGAAAGTGTGGCCATGAACTCTGAAATATCCCTCACTGATACATAACTAAAGAAATTTCACAAGAGAAGCTGATTATGAGCATACAATGATAGGTGCTCAATCATTACAAATGAACATGATTTTTAATGAAACAAATTTCACAAGAGAACCTTTTAATTTCTTGGTTTTCAATATCCATATTCCTAAAAAAAATAAAGATTACAATCAAAGAAGAAACTGAAGCAACAAGTGGAATAACTAAGTTCGAACCTTTGGATGAATCCTCTAGACAAAAACCAAGATTATCCGCCAAATTAAGGATCAAGTCAGTTATAACTATTAATTATTCACAAAAGGGTAGGAATAATAATATTAAACAAACAGTTGTGTGTGTGTGTGTGTGTGAAATCTCAATTACAAAGTTACATATGACTTTTCCATAAGAGCCTTTGGAATTGAACCTATAAGCTTGTTATCACTCAAATTACTGCAAAACAATTGAAATAAGTTAACTTACTTTGGTTTGAAATCTGTGGCAGTGATTCCTTAACAATGTAGCTCAAAATTTATAGGACTCCTTAACTTTGGCAATTTTGCTAAAAAAATTTGGTATTGATCCTAACAAATCATTAAATGACAAATCTCTTGAACAAAGAAATAATTTGTATGTTGAAGAAACTTGACATCCAAACAGTTTTTCATTGTTTAATCACTCTAATAACATACTTACAATGACTCTAGCTCTATAAGTGTCAAATATAAATAATATTCATGTTATTTTAGACTCCTTTAAATACACCAAAATTTCATCAATGAATTCCATCTTAAATTTATCAAGAAATTGTCTAAGCATCATACTCATCTAATTTATAAACAATATTACTCTTGCTCTTACTTGTGTAACTCCCCCTCCCTTTTTTTTATTCTAGTCACTTGCTCTTTCTCCATCATCCATCACCAAAGGTCATTTCAACTCACTTAAGATGCTTAAAACATCTTATTAGTAACCAATGTAGTTTGTTAAAGAATAACGGAAGCTTAATTCCTCTTGACTTTGTCCTATCATGTTATGTACAAATTTGATCCCAAACTTCAAATTATCAAAACTTGATCTTGGAACATCCAATTTAAGCAAATTAGGACTTTCTAGAATGTTATATTCATTTACTATCTACTATGTAAAGTTTCAAAGTCATTGAAGCCCATTAAGTCGAGGAAAATACTAAAACAGCAAATCTGATAAAAAAGACGTAGAGCTGTTGCAAGACAGCATTTTAAACTGAATTCAAAAATTCATAAAATAATCACTAGAACTTTAAAAATTACCATATTTGAGTAAATGAAACTGCCCCTAAACACATGCCAAATTTTAGCTTCAAACTCGACATTTAGGGCCATCAAATGCATACTGTTCATTTGATTTTGTTTTGAAGGCTCAAATATTTGAACTTGTATTTTCTTGTAATTCTTCATCACAAACATACTAATGCTCGCTTGATTAGAAAGCAATTGAATGAAGGAAAACTTTTAAATGATTATGTTTTTAAAACATAAAAAAGTTGGGTTAATTTTTTTAAACAGATACAGAAGAGAGGAAGGAAGGGTAAGAAAACTCTTTAGAAAATTTCCATCCCTTTTTTTTTTTCCAAAACCAAATTTATTAAAACTTTCCCTTCCCTCCTCCACTCTTTTTTTTTTTTTAAAGGCAAGTCTATTACAAAACTAGTGCGCAAGTAATTAACAAAGATAAAGTCAAGCTACAGTGATAAAGCTTCGTAGATAGACCAGCCTATTATGAAACAAGTCAAAAACATTGACAAGGAATCAGAACATGATAAAAGAGTGAACATTAGCAATTTATTTATTTATTTTGAATAAAAAGGGAATGACCTAGGCCATACAACACTAGAGATCAATCACTAATAGCATAAGTATATATAAACATCTCTATCCAAAAGATTACTACACCCCAAAAGAGGCGAGTCTAGACAACAACACTTGGCAAAAGCATTAGCCTCTTCCAAACAAATCTTATCCCACTAAACAGGGTCAATTACATGGACTGCATAATATCATTGTATTTTATCAATAATTAAATCGTTGGGTATATTGTTAACCGAAACTGCCCAATAATTATCATGACAAAATCTCAAGAACATGTGACAGCTGATGCAGATACTGGAGCAGAGGCCAATGAAATAGTGAGTGTTTGGATCCAAGTTCCAGATTAATTCATGAAAAATGTCTAGATAAATAGTCAAATAAAGATAATCAATTAAACATAATCCCAGCTCACCCTTAAGCACATCCAAGCCATACCAACTAAACCATTGAGGCATGTTGCTGGGCATGCCAAGAAACAACATCCTTATAAGCTAAGTTCCCTCCAAAAATATCCAATGCACTTCCCACTGTAACATCCACGCGTTCCAGTCCAGCCATTTTTATCCTCTCCAAATCAGCCATCTCAATAACACCACCAGCATAGGTGACAGGAATCTGACATACAGAATAGATAAATAATATGTACATTTAATAAGGCTTCATGGCAGAGCAAACTGAAATTTGGTGTAATACCACATTTTAAAATTACTACTTTCTTGTTCTAATGGTCAATTCATATTTTCAGGCTTTTTTTTTTTTTTGGGTCAGATATTTCCATGCTATTTAAATACATTGATGAAGCATAAATATAACAGGTCAAATAAAATCAAAGTAGATGAGGATTGTTACCAACCGGTGAATGCTTGCCAAGCAAAGCCACAAGCTCTTCATCAATACCCAACCTACAATGAGCAATCAATTAATATCAATTGCATTTCTAACTGTGCATAATAGGTGTTTACATTTTTGGTAAAAAAATGGACTGAAGAAAAATGTGAAAACAAGTTATATCATTCCCAAATGCTTCTTACTCCAGAATTGTTTGTCAAATAAATTCACTCTGGGAAAGTAGGAGGAGCCATTTTGATAATAGAATCCTCAACCCTAATTAATTCCAGTTGAAGACATGAACAATTTTTACTTACTTTTTCCCTTCAACATCAACGCCATGAACCAGAAATTCATCAGCAAAGTTGGCAAGAAATTGCAATATTTCAGCATCAAGAGTCACATCACTAAATTTCTGCCATCTATCAGTGACAACTGCATATTTACCTTCCTGAACATAAGAAGCCACAAATACAAAATTGCTAAAATGATAAAAAGCATTAAACAAAAACAGCACCCTAAGGAGATTTAGACACACCCATATACTTGCATGCGTGCATGTGCGTAACATCCAAAACAGTTTTCATTCTTTAACATGTACATATGCATTGATTTCCTACCAGTTGATAACCTCTCATCCTTCAGTTTAGAATTGCTCTTGAATATTTTATACCTTTTAGCTGAATATTAAATCACAGCATTCACAAGCCCATAAAAGAAAATTGTTACTTCAATCTCAAGTTACTAGAGTTGTGCTACACATTAGTGCCTAATCATTCTTCCAGAATTTTTATTTTTCAGGGATAGAATAAACTATTAAATACAAATAAACCTGTTTGACCTTTTTTCTGCAGCTGAGATCCAATACAAGCCTCTGTCTTCCAACAACTCGTACAAGATCTTTGAGCCTCTCGAGATCCATTTGTCCATTGTTAAATACATACTGAGAAGACAGAAAACAAATAATATAACACGTCTACATCCATTCTCTACCAAGAACTGCTTCTCTACTGGCAGTTACTTTATATACGTTTTTTCTTTTTGTGGTCCCTTTTCAGTATAGTGTAATTGAGGAAAAGTTATGCAAAGTGATTTTCCTTTCTCAGCACAGAACAAATATGTTATTTTTATTTTTTTTAATAAAAAAATTGATTTTATTTTAAATCTCTAGATTAAAACAAATGAATATAAAAGAAGGAAAAGTGCCCATGATTACAGATCTAGACGTTTAAGAGTTGTTCCAAATGAATTTAACTATCAAGTCTGTATCTATCAGCATTTGGCGAGCCATATCATTTAATGGGGAGTAAAAAAGCTGAACAAATCAAAGAAGATAAAACATACAGATGTGACAATGACATGGCTTGCTCCTTCGTCAATGTAACTCAAACAATTGCCAGAATTTATTCCACCTCCAACTTGCAGACTGCCTACAAGTTACCAGTCCTCCACGGTAAGTTCAGCTCAGCAAAGAAAAATCTGTAAGTTTTTAGCATATCATCAACCACAAAGAACAAAGGCAATGCAAATAACTTGGAGGCAGCAGTCAACATGATCCACATGTTAAGAGAGACATTCTCTCATGTTATGTTATAAAGTATCAGAACGGAAACAACAAGGAATAAACTCAATTTGTGGCTACCTGACTAACAAGGTAAACTAGAGATCCAAGCCGAGAGAGAGAGAGAGAGAGAGAGAGAGAGAGAGAGAGGTCATCCTGCAGATACTCGCAGACACTAAATAAGCAACTAAATATTGGCCAATCTAATTAATATCTGACCTAGTTTAGGAGTTCCTTTTTCTTTCTTTTCTTAATTAATCCATCTAGCATTTCCAGTTGCAACTTATTAAAAGTTCAAAACAAAGATTATCACGACCTATTTCAACTGCACTCTGTTGTACTCTCCACAAATCCACAATAATGTCACTAATTTGTGGTAACACCAACTTTAAAATGCACATACAGACACTCAAAGGAAAATGAAAACCAATGAATTAAGCATAGTACCTGGATAAGCATGTAATGCCTCTAAGGCAGCAGCTTTGCTTAAAGGATCTGCTCCGAGCATAATTACATGACCACCAGTAAGCCCATCCTCTCTATAAAGATCAGCATACTCAGCTGCTGACTTATCAGATTCAAAATTGGTCACAGGATTAGACACATCCCCCTTTAAATCTTGAAGGGTTGATCCAACAATTTGTTTGACTTTACCCTGCCACAAATGTGAAAACCGGATGAATTTATCAAATACCTCGTCACATATACATAAGTTCTTTCACTGTTCATGTAGCTATTATCATGGCCATACAAAATCAAGCCATTGAAACCACAGAAATTGTCATCAATTTTTTTTCCCCAAAAAAATTGCAGAGTATGATAAAAATTTGACAAACTAGAGACTGGCATACCTTGTGTATATCAATGCAAGGACGGAATCGAACAGAACAATGAATGGAAGTCTGAGGTTTTCCTATTAAGTACAAAAACAAACAAATATCAGAGAGAATGCAACAAGTAGCTAATGCAGCATCAAACACAGAAAAGGGAATGTAAGCAGATATTAAAATACTTGAGGCTGAAGAAGGCCAGGATACATAAAAACTATGCTTGTCCAGGCCATAAGTTGAATTCTTTACATATCCCTGAGGAAATTGAACACTGGATGTTGGAGTTCCAGAGATCTTCAGCATTCTCACCAACTGCTAAATGTCCAGGTTTTTGGGGTGTCCTCCAGTGCTGTGATCGAATGACTGCTCCAGTGGTGATGACTGTCAAGAGCATGTCCAAGCCAAAATGTGTCAAGTTCTACAATATAAACTGGATCTACAACATATTATTTAACTTCTTGATTCTTGCTTGAGTCATATCAGCTAATAGAAATATCCTAGCATAAATGCGTTAATGAATTTATGACAGAAAAAGATTCTTCAACAGAGTTCTCCTCCTCTTCTATTGGCTGTTTTTTATTTTTTTATTTTTTCCTGTGAAAAGTTCCATGATGGAATGATACTAGACCATAATACAAGAAAACCTGTAACAGATGACCAATAAATGAGGGCTAAAATCTTCAGTAGCAGCTCTTTCTCTCTCTTTTTTTTGGGGGGAGGGGGTTTAAGAATACAATTTTTTTTTTGAAAAAAAAAATTGCCCAATTCAAATTACACCATTAACAAAACAGCTAAAAACACCAAGACAGAGGAACTGCAGCAATTTAAAACCACAGGCCATGAAGCAGCAGAAGCATAGGCGGACTTATACTACACTCAGTGGGGTCCTCTGCCCCTGCTGAAATCTCTGAAATATGCATAGTTGATATAATAACCTTTTAATTTGTGTTCCAGATACTTTGACACAACTCAAGCCAAGTCGTTTGCAAGTCATATATCACAAACACCTTGAAAATTTTCCAAAATTGAATAATTGATGATAATATAAAAAGATTGATAAACAGAGTAGCAATACACAACAAATCCAACATTGCAAAACAGCACAATCCAAATCATTCAAGTCGCTAGTAATCAAAATGAAGAGAGAAGAAGTATAATATTCCCAGATTCCAAAGCGTCAATATTCAACGATTACACGACCAGATTCAAAGCCAAATTAAAAACAAAGCAATAACAGCCACGCAGGAAACAGATGACGCGGGGAACGAATTCAAATCTAGATTCAAAGCCAGATTGAACAAATCAATCTCACCAGATTTTGGGAGTGAAAAAAGCCCTAGGGTTCGAAACTTCTTTACTTCTTGCCTGAGAACAACCAGCCAGGGCTAGCAACGGTGGACGGCGTCCGACAGAGCGTGGAATGCGGTTCGTCGACGACGAGAACTGGGTCCGGTACTCACGAGAATGGTTTCAATCGGGGGGGGGGGGGTTGTTGTTGTTGTTGATGTTATTAATTATTAATTTTAGTTTATAAATTGATATAAGTTGAAAATTAATGACCCAAATAGTAAAATTAATTACTCCGAGTACAATTTATATTTTTTATATTTTTTCATTCTCATTCTTTGAACGATTTTCTCATACCCATTTTTTCAACTTTTCTCTCAAGTAATTGAAAGGAACCTCAAATTTTTTTTTATACAGAAGAATGTCGATCAAGTCTTAAAAAAATTAATAATAGTTTGGTTCTTAATAAAAAATTAAAAAAAATAAATTAATTTAAATAGCTATAAATTTAAGAGTGTTAATTTCAAATAAAATATTTAAATTCTAAATATATTAATCAATTTGTAACTCATATTTTCATTTATAAATATTTAAATATATATCTACAATTCATTTTTAAACAAGTTTTATTAAGAAATTTGCTGTGATTAATTCATATTTTATTGTTATTCTTTCATTTTTTTTGGGATAAAAGAACCTTAAATTTTTACTATACTAAATTAGACGAGAGTTGGTTAAAAAAATAGATGAGAGAAATTAAGTTTTTTAAGAAAATTATGTATAACTCTCATGAAATAGACTTATTTATAAATAAGTTTTATAAAATTTAAAAATTACAGTTAGGTCCTTAGGACCTAAGTGAAATTTGAAATTAAAGTGTAAAAATAACATATCAATCAAATAATTTATAATTATTTTATTAATAATTTATAACTATCATTTTAACTTTTTACAACTATAATTTTATATATTTAATATGTAAACTAATCATATATTACAAGTGTGATACTAATTGTACACAATTATTTTATCAGTATTTACAACTATCATTTTTATATTTTACAACTATAATTTTATATATATAATAGTTAAACCAACCATGTGTTAGTAGTAAAGTTTAACACAATTTTTTATAATTACTTTATTAATAATTTATAACTATTATTTTAATATTTTATAACTATAACTTAAATAATTTTTAATAGGACAGTATTGTTTTTGTACTCTCATTTTAAATTAAACTCAAATCTTAAAAACCATAGCTATAGATTCTAAATTTTACAAAATTTATTTATAAATAAGTTTATTCTACAAGATCTATACTTAATTTTTCTAAGTGTTTTTTTAGAAAATGACAATAAAATCTCTTTAAAATATATAAATGATAATTTGGCCCTTGAAATGCCATAACTCCCCTTAAGTTTCTAGAGACTTTTCTGTCATTAATGAATTTATATAAATTATCAAATTGCCTTTATTAAAAATAAATGATTCACAAATTTTATTTAAATATTCACGACTTTTCTTCTTATATTCGCAATAATACATCAGCAAATAAGAAATTTAACATGTAAAGTTGTAATTTGCTGTAACATTATTGTAAATATAAGAAAAAAAAGTTGTGAATATTTAAACAAAACTTATGAATCATTTATTTTTAATCAAAGCAATTTGATAATTTATATAAATTCATTAATAATAAAAAAGTCTCTAAAAACTTGAGGAGAATTATGGTATTTCAATAGACCAAATTATCATTTATATATTTTAGAGAGATTTTATTGTTATTTTTTCTTTTTTTAACTAAAGTAAGGAAAATAAAGTTGATTAAAGAAAAGTAAAGCAGCCAAAGTAATGCTTTGGTATTTCAAATAAAGTTTAATTTGAAAAACTCTCCCCAAAACGTTTTCTATTTTTGCATAGATTTGAACAAAAAACTTCATGCTTATGCAGCCAAAGTTATTTCTACTAGAACTAATGCTTGTTAGTCTTTTATTGTAACTTTTGCTAGAAAACAAGGATATAATTAAATCCAAGAATTGTACTGCAAGCTTATTAATTTCCAATGTAGTAACATTATTTTAGCTTGTGCAATATTGTCCCTTGTTACCAACAATAGCTAGGATAAGTGGTTGCATACTTATTTATCTAAAATAATACCTTGCAACTGCGCAAATATCTTCACCCAGATGTCATCAATTTCATCACTATTGTTCAATCTCTAAATCATAATACAAATGAAAATATCATTTATTGGAGACCTTCTATTGATGGTAGCTTCACCATCAAATCCACTTACAAGGCTATTTAAAGTCATAGAGATAGTACAAGCTTTAAGATTTGGTCTAAGATTTGGAAGTGACTTGCTTATGAGAAGATTAAATCTTTCCTTTGAAAAGCGGCTTAGGTGATCTCCAACCTAAATTCACATGCTATAATAGAGTCAATCCTTGTGTTAGGACATGCCTCTTTGGTTGTAGCTCTTTAGATTCAACCATTCATTTCTTGAGAAATTGCAAGAAATCTAGAGAGGTCTGGTTGGAATTAGTTGATCAATTTAAACTCAACACTTTCTTTTCTCTCATTTTGCAAGAATAGATACTTCAAAATGCAAAGAAAGAGGCAGGTAATTCAAATGCGAGAAAAAAAATTTGCCCACATATGCTGGAACATTGGAAGGGAAGATGCAAAAAACATCTAGAAAACACACATGACAGACATTACATTCACCAGCATCCAAGATATTCTAAACAATCTCAACCTTCAATCAAGAATCGATCACTTGTCCCTACAAAGTGATAGATCAAAAGCAAAATAGTGCCCTTTGAAAAAGGATGGGTCAAACTTGACATAGATGGTTTTGTCAACATTTATGGTGTGGCTGCCTAAAGTAGACTCATTTGAGATAATCAAGAAAATTGGATCCAAAGCTTCTCAAAATATCTAGGTTATCACCCCAGTATAGTTGCTGAACTCATAGGCATCCTTGAAGGTCTTAACACTTGTTGGACGAAAAAGTTTGACAAAGTCAACATTCACTTAGATTTTATAAAAGCACTCACACTAATTCGCAACAAGTTCTCTGCAAATCATCCTCTTGTTGAATCTATCAACAAAGTTAGAGAACTAGCTGTGAGAGACTGGATAGTCACATTTAACCACGTCTTTAGAGACACAAACAATTGCCTAATTAGATAGCTCACCAAACTCCTACCAATAACTTCAACGTTCATATTTTTGATATCTCACCCCTTGATTGTAGAAACCTTTTACATGCTGATATGACTTAAGATGTCTATTCACATGTTTTTTCTGTGGCCTTCTATTAAAAAAAACTTAAATTTAAATTTTATGGAAGAATAAAATTATTACCTAAAAATGGTTTTCATACATGTGATTTTACGTCGAGTTAGTCCAAATTATTTGAGACTTAGTTCTTATTTGGTTTGTCCAAATAATTGATTTTTTGAGAGCAAACCATGGGTTAGGTGAAAATTACCAAAACAACACAATTTTCAACTAATCAATTATCTAAACTAAACCACATTTTGTAATAAGCTCTCCTTGCCAGCATCTCTTAACCAATTTTACCATTAGAATAATAATTTTGTCAAAATTCTTTGCCTACCAATATTACCCTAGGTATCCTACGTCTTCTCTTGTTTTTGATCTCTTGTCTCTCGCTATCTTGTACCTTCTTCTTGTCAGGTCTGTGCTGTTTCTCTATCATTGTCCTCCCACCCTCGAGCTTGTCACCGTGTGCCAAGCTGATAAAGCACTCATCAAGGCCGAATAAGAAGGCTAAGGCACACCAAATGAAGATGAGGCCAAGGAAGATGCAGTAGTGGGATATAAAGCGAAAGCCGATGATGTACCTCCATTGTCATTGTTTCCTCCCAGTTGGACTCATAGTTTCCCCCATATCGGAAACATCCTTAGATACTCCTCCTACTTCCCAACCAAGGTGATGAGAGCTTGTCTCAATAAAAGTGAGAAAGCGAGAAGAAAGCAGAAGGAAGAGCTTGGTGACGGTATGCCTGACATCGCTAGAGATCGGAGGCTAAATTCATTTTGGTTTGTGTGCATGTTGAGTTCATTCTTGACTTCTCTCCCCCGAGCCTAACCCAATCAATGATGAAGACCCAAACTCAATTTTGTAGACTAAACAAAGAAGGCAGCCACGTCAAACACTAGGTGGATTTACTTAGCACAGTCATCCACCTAATCAAAGCTACTTCAGTCAAAATTAACAGTATGAATGTACTTAATCAAATGTGGCTCATGTAATATCCCAAAATTTAATTCAAGATTAATTAAGTTTATCAAGGGTAAATGAGTAATTTTGAAGAAATGTTTTGATATAAATAATTTTAATTAGGAGATTATTATTGAATTTAATTTAAAATAAAATCCAAATCTTAAATTATGATTTTTTTAGAAAATAAAAATAGTAATAATAACATTATTAAAAAATATAAGAAGAGACCCTGGCAATGAGACTGAATTAGAAGGCGGGACTCCATAATAAGATATTTTAGATGAGATTTTAAATATTCTAAAACTATATAAGTGTTATAAATATTTTTTTCAATCATAGTTTCTCTTGAGTTTCAAATTTTGGGGTTATGAAAAATATAGAATTTGAAAGAGCGTTGAATTTTTTATGAATAAATATGGTGGTAGAAGTTGTTGGTAGTATAATAAATATTCTAAAGTATTATTTTGTTGATAGAATTAGAATTTGAGGCCTTTGAATTAACTCTAGATCTCTATAAGTAGATTTTTGGTTAAATCTAAAAAATATAAATTGATTTGTTAATGTTTAGATAATTATTTGGGAGTAGAAATATATTATTAAAGCTATAAAATGATGAGTCTAGATTTTAGACTAAGTTTGTAATTTTTGAGTATTTTTAAATGTGAATTTTTGAAAATAAAAAGGAAAATTTTGATATTAGAAAATTGTTTGAAGGATGATTTTAGCCAAATTTCAATGAAATTATTGTGAATGAAGCTATTAAACTAAGTGGATAAGTTCAAATATATGAAACTGAATTTTAGAACTCAAGAGGCTAAAATTAAGGTCTTGAAAAATGAAATGAAATGAGGTAAATACTTAAGTGTTGAAATATGAGTGAAAATTGTGTTAATAATATTATTGACATATTGAAATATCATTAATTGTAGATAAATT